AAGAGGCTTTTAACAGGTGACAGAGATGATGGTCCCCACAGCTGGCAGGTAGCCAAACAAGCCTCCAGACTCAGGTCCTCCTCACTTTAAACACGTCTGTGCATTTTGACTTCCACACACAGGTAGTTTCATGTTGAATGCAACAGTAATCTTAGATGCCACAGTGCTAACTAAACGGGATTATATGAAGAAGAGACACTCATTAAAAACCTGCAATATGCAGATGATACAACCTTGCTTGCTTAAAGAGGACTTAAAATACTTCCTGATGCAGATCTAAGACCACAACCTTCAGCACGGATTTTACCTTAATATAAAGAAAACAAAATTCCTTACCACTGGACCAATAAATAACACCATGATAAATGGAGAAAGACTTCATTTTGCTTAGCTCCAGCATCAACACTAACAGAAAAAGCAGTCAAGACATCAAACAACATACTGCATTAGGCAAATCTGCTGCACAAGACTTCTTTAAAGTGTTTTTAAAAGCAGAGATGTCAGTTTGAGGACTAGGTATACTTGACCCAGGCCAACATATTTTCAATAGCTTCAGATGCATGTGAAAGTTAGACAATGTACAGGGAAGACCATATAAGAATTGGTGCATTTAAGTTATGGTGTTGGAGAATATTAAAAGTACCACGGACTGTCAGAAGAGCAAACAAATTTATGTTAGAAGAAGTACAGCCAGAATGCTCCTTAGAAACCAAGATGGCCTGACGTCATGTCTCATACTTCGGACATTTTATCAGGAGAGGTGCAACAGAAGGCCCATACAAAGTAGAGTATATGTAAACAACTACATGCTAATTGAAGGACAAACTATTCTTTCCACAAAAGCTTGAGGCTAATGTCTGTTCAAAAGACGAGTCTCAAAAGTAGGTTGTCTAGAATGGTTCTAGATTCCAAGCAATTCATCGCTTTGTTTTCTTCAGGTTTCCTCATTCATTGTTGTGACACACAGGCCCTCCTACAGTATGTTGTTTATTTTACCATGTGTCGTATTTTTTCCAAAGCCCACCTGTAATTATTTATTGAAATTTTACCAATAAGTTAGCATTTTCATTTCTTTTTTAACTTTTTATTGTGAATTGAGTGAAGGTTTACAAAGTAAGTCATCAGTTTTACATTCAACAAATCAAATACTTCCTTTTATCTCAATGATTGCAATCCCCTCAACATAACATCATTTATCCCACTTCCTCCCTTTGTTTCTTGTTTTCATTACTCCTTTTTCTACCCTTTAAATTAAAAATGCTGCCCTTTTGAAATCAAATGATTACCATTTTATGGTATATAAACTTCACTACTGTTGTTGTCCTCCCATGATCGATCTGTTGCTCATCTGACAACTGAACCATAGGGTGAATTCAGTTCCAGACCTGATGGGTGGCCAAGGACCATAGTCTCAGAGTTCTACCAGTATTCATCTGACCAGTAAGGCTAGTCTTTTTTTTTTTATAACTATTTTGAGTTTTGCTCCATATTTTCTTCCACTATATCCAGGACCTTCCAATGTGATCTCTTCCAGAGCCGTTGGTAGTGATAGCCGAGCACCATCTATCTAGTCATTCCAGTCTCAGGGTCATAAAGAATGATGTTCACGTGGTCCCTTAGTCTACTGGAAAAATTCTTTCCAAGAGTCTTCAGTTTTTATCACCCTTCTTTCTTCTGGACAGGGAGAGACCAACAGTTGCACCATAGAAGGCCACTCCTGAGCTTTTAAGATCCCAGTAGCTACTCATGTTAGTAGACTGTAGAACATTGCCTTTGTAGACAATGGTATGCCAATTGACTATGATGTTCCAGAAACCATGGTCCTGAGCTTCCAGGTCCAGGAAATCATTCCCTCAAGGCGTTTTTGGTTATGTCTAAGATGTTTTCATAACTTTGTCCATGTATATTCCACCATTCACGGACATGTTTACAGCAAGGCTAAGTACTCATGTACAAATAGCCTCTTGTCACACCTTTATATATCTGTGGGTATGATAATATTCTCTTGTGAAGAATACAGTCTCAATCAGCCTTTAATGTATGCTAGGAGTCATGTAAGACTGAAGCCAAGAAATCTTCGATATTCTAGCCTTCCTCATCCAAAGAATACTATGATTCGATTCAGAAATTAAACCATATACATCACCAACTGCCTCATCCCCAATACAAATCCAGTAAGCTGACTAAATATAAAGTTCATAAAACTATCTTATTTCTAATTTAAAAGAAGAACTGATTTTAAAGTGCTATAAATTGTGAGAGAC